ACTGGGAGCCTGATGGAATACACAAAGTTAATTGGAAATGTACTCCCATGTACAAAGGAGTGCCTGAATGCCAAATAAAACTACTTTTCTTTTCAAAAACTTTTAAAATGCACCAATCACACCCTGCTATCTAGTACAGTTCTGTAACAGAATAAATATTGCATGAGTGGGATTGATTTAGCTCTTCAGACATGGATGTAAGAATGGAGTTTGACACATCCTATGGGTACGTATAGTTGCCTCTTTCCTCAGTGCAACTTCAGTTTGCAGTGTAAACAAATAACTCATGATTTTAGTAGTTGTCCAACATCAGCAGTAACAGATGTTGTTCAGTGAAACAAAAATGTTTTGGAAGTGGAGATACTTTATGAGAAAATAAAGCTTATTTTGTTCTTTCCCTTTATTTTGACATTTTAAAACAATGGACTGATTTTCATACATGTTTTTGCTTGTGTTCCCTGTTCAGTTTTGTCTTGCATTCCTTTGAATGTAAACTTGAGGGGGCCCTGAAGACTACTTTGAGGGCTCTGTCCGTTGGTGGTTGTTGATATGGGGGTACTGATCCTTTAGTAAACAGGTTTTGTTCCTGTTAGCTTTCCAAACATTGGAATGAAAAAACTATTTCCTAGAACTAACATAGTTCAGTGACCTAAATCATGTGGGTGGAAGGGTGAAGGCAGAGTATGGAACAAGTAAGCAAAGAACCACTTTCTACCTGGAAGAGCTGGTTTTTGTTCACTGGAGATGTAATATACCCTCATTCTGAGGCTATATTCTCATTCTCATCCCTAGACATCTCTCAGGAAAAATATGTTAAAATAGGCTTGACTCACCATCCTAATATATATTCCAGGCCTTCTTTCTAAACCATAGAATGATCTAAATTGATGTTCTGTTCTGAAAACAAAGTAGAAGTCTTCTGACCACCTGACTGTTTTTTTTTCCTTTCAGTGCTGTTTACGTCAGAAACTGAAAATATCTGCTCTGATGAAACTGAACATTGTCCATCTATTCTCCTTCAGCAGTAGACACCTCCTTCTCTCCTGTTTATCTCACTGCTTAACTTCCCAGCCCCCCTTGCGTCGTCTCAGGTAGCTGTCCTCCACAGTTGTGAGGAGATGTTTACTTTACACTGTATTTGTTTCATCCCTGAGCAAGAGCTGTTCTAGATACCATATCAAGGTTGTTCCTCTCTTTCTGTTGGTGCCAGGTGTGAGGAAGCATCCTAGGTGTTGAATCCAGGACGGTTTTCAAGTTACTCTTTGTGTTTTCAGTCCATCAGCTTCTAACTGTGGGCTAAGTCCTATACCAGAAGCCCAAATGACATATTGCCATATTTGAAGAAAACAATTGAAACTGCGTAACTATATGACTCACAATAGAAAGTATTAACTGTGTACAGAAGACTAATCATTGGAAACTCATATAGAAACACAAAGTTGACAGTACAGATAGCTATATGCTAGGTTAAAAAAAAAGTCTGAAAAACAGGATGATGGAATCTCTTTCAGCCATGAGTGAGAAACAGCTTCTGATAGTGCTCTTCAACTCAAACACAGCTACTGTATGACAAGGTAGGGGACAAAACACTTCATTATGCAGATAAACAAACAAGTTTTGACTGTTTTTAACAAAGAAAGACTTTCAAAACAGGTAATGAGAAGCCCCAAGAAAAATAAAGAGAATGCTAGGACCTGACAATCCAGGACAAACTAAATCCAGATTAGACAAGCAATCCAGGTCAGACTAAGTGGGTGAATCCATTCACATATTGCAATGATGGATTAATCACTGTCAAAAAATGGTTATGAAATTTCTGAGTTAGTTAAACCTTCATGAAGGTTGAGGATACCTATAAAACTTACTGTTTTATTCTGAAATATTATATAAATGTGAGCTCATAATAGGTTAATTATATTAAGAATTAATCACAGCCACTCAGTGGAACAGTAATGAGTGTCCATGTCAGGATTTTGACAGTGGTGCAGGCTTTTGACAGGCTTGCAGGGGTGGTGTCCCTGAGAAGAAGGTCAGGGTTGCCACATGCCAGGCACGAACGGCTCCAATGGACCCATCACGGGACACAGCTGAGCCCATCAGCCAAGCTGGTGGCACCTCTGTGAAAACACATCTAAGAAATGACAAAAATGGTGGAAAGAGAGAGGAGAAGGGAACAAAAGAGTGAGAAACAACAGAGGTAACACCAAAGTCAAAGGTGAAGCACTCCTTGGTGAAGCAGGCACCACCTGAAGGAACTGCAGCCCATTGAGGACCCACACTGAAACAGAGGAAAAAAGTGAAAAAGAAGGAGTGACAGAGAGAAACCTCTGCAACCTGATCACAGCTGTCCCCCATCCCACACTGCTGGTTGCCTCACAGAAGGGACTGGGTGTAACTGGTGGCTACAACAAGGGACAATATATTGCCTATAAATGAAGTTAATTTTCCCTAAGTCAAGTCTGCATTGCCCATGACAATAACTGATTCATTATCTTCCTCTCCTTATCTTGACCCATGAGATTTCTCCAGTTCTTCCCACATTCTCCTGTCCTGCAGTGGGAGGGGAGTGAGCATGCAGCCGGGTGGGTGTTTGTCTGCCAGCCAAAGCCACCCCACCACAGGAATATGCATAAATTTAATTGCATACAGAAGTTCTTGGATAATTACAGAGAAATATCAACAGGCTGCAAGCTAAAGTGCCGCAAAAGCTGGGATTCCAATGAGAGCATTATTAAGAGAATAAGTCGTACCTGGGATTTATACAAAGGCAATCTTTAAAAGAATAAACAGTATTTTATTAAGTACAACAGGACCTTGGACCAGCCTAAAAGTAGGAGTTCAAAACTACACAAAGCACTGTGTGACTGGGTTATCTTGACCAGATCACTGATTGAATGGCATGCGTGGTGTGTGGCAGGATGTCTCAGTCTTGGAACACCAGACCATAAAGTATGTGAAATGATGGATGGGAAAGTGCTGTAGTATGTGAACATCCTGACTGGCTGCATAGTTGTATCATTATCTGTAGCTATAAAAGTAGAGGTAGAAAATAAATGACTTCCCTTGGCTTTAATTTGCTGAGTCGCTTTCTCGTTTTCAGCTCACCGCAGATAATTTTGAGAACTGCCACAGAAATGGGAAGTGTACACCACATTTTCAGTCCCTTTTTCTGCAGATCGTATGCTGGACATGGTATGCAACTCCATCACTGTAGTGCAAGCACAGTTACAAGAAGGCATATAGACAGTTTTATATGAGAGCAGAGCTCATAATGGGGCCAAACTACACTGTCAGCTATACAGGTCTTTGCCAGATTAGGAAATTTTCACTTGTATGTCTTACTGTTGAGATATGGACTCGCGTTTCCCATTTTACATCACTGACTATATTTTGCATCATGCTGTTACATAAAAATATTACTAATAATACCACACTATCCTTGCTTTGCTTCCTATGCTGTACTATATGCAAATGTTAGCTTTATTAATAATGATGCTACTTTAAACAATCAGGTTAGTTAGGCTTTTAGAGAAAGTCTTGTTGTCTTTACAAGCTATAAAAGACATCACATTATGTTCCTCACTTTTTTGCCTTCATAATATAAGAGTATCCATATTTAGTAATGCTCAATGTAAAAGATTTGTCTGTTTTTCAAGTGATGCTAAGCACACGTAATCAAGCATGTTTATTAAAGTGATCTTGAGAACTTGAAAAGCACATTATCTTCTTCTTCTACTAAATAATGGACAAAAAAAAGCTAAATTAAACACTTCTAATCTGACTATTAACTGTAATTGGAGACACATAATTTAATATAATCTAGCCCACATGTTCTGTTGTGCATTTCAAAGCACAATTCTAGTGCTCTGTGAGCTCTCAGTGCTCTAGCAGGCAGCTCAGTTAACTTTGGAGGTTAACTGCAATAGAGGCAAACAGTCCCTCTTATTAAACAGTAACCATCTATATTAAATAAGAATTTAAAGTTCAACCCATCACCCAAGGGGAGCACTCAGCTGGTTTGAAAAGGTAGAGAGCTCAGCTTTGCTTCCTGAGGGAACTGAACAGTGCAGGGAGGCAGAAGCATCTCGCTCGGCACAGCAACCCACCGGATGCCCTGCAGTGGCTGCCCAGGGCTCTGCACTGTCGCTCAGTGCAGAGCATCGCTTCGCAGCGCAGAGCATCGCTTCCCCCGCCCAGCTCAGCCTGCTTGACCCAACCACAGCGTGGTCCCGGGAGCCAGCTGCAAAGTAATGCACCCTGCGTTTCACAGTCCCGAACACAGCTGTGCTACCTGCTGCATGCTGTGGGAGTATGAGGCAGCATGGTTTATTGCAAAGACCCATAAATTTATCTACCAACTATACTCTACTTGTATGATTGCACACTGTAGCATACATACATAAAAATAAGCTAGTCAAACCTATGACTCAGTTTTGAGCCATCAATACATAAAAATGTTTTAGGAGAGACAGAATAACAAAGTTAGTTAGTATCTACAAAGCACTTTTACGTACAGACTTGCTTAAGTAGACTTTTCACAGGAGAAGTGAATCAACACTGACTGCAACTTGGCTGCATTCAGAGTGACACAGTGCCTTAGCTGGGACAAAACCTCAAGTCTTCTGAACTCCCAGGCTAGTTCTCTTCAGATCCCAAAAGTAACTCAAGAGTCACTTTGTGTATTGGGCAGGATTACTAACAGGCTGTAATATAAAGAAACTATAATTAAGAATGTTTCATTCCTTATTGACACTTCCTAATTGCTGTTTGATAGAGGAAATAAATTACTACTTGGTTTTCAGTCCTTCCAGTAGGTAATAATGAATAGACAAGACAAAATACATATTTATATGTATGTGTACACATATCACAGAATTTCAGCTTGACTACTCAGCAAAAAGGGTGAATATATTTTACCTCCTTCCACAGATTTAGAGTAGAGATCCCTGAAACAAGTAGGGTTTATATTTCCAAAAGCCATTTCAAACTGCTTGTCCTACCTGCCTTCGGGAAGCAATAGTGCTATTGAAACTCCTGTTAGTCATCTTGAAATTCATAGGCTTGGTTTGATGAGCCATGTCATTCTTCCATGTCTTGGAGTTTTCTTTTGGGTCTGAAGGGATGGGGTTCAGGAACAGTATTCTGGCAATCAGGCCATAGAGGACAGTTGCTAATACCATTGGCACAACATAAAAAATACCAAAGTCCATCATGTAGATAGGAGAGTAATAGCTCCTGGACACCCTGTAGCCACAGGACACAACAGTAGTGTCTTTGTAGGCTACTGTATTAAGGTCCAGCAAGAAAAACCAGAGCATACAGTATATGGAGGTGAAAGCCCAGACAAAAATAATGATCTTTTTGGCTCTTGTAAAAGTGCATAGGAATTGAGCTTTGATTGGGTGGCAGATGGCTATGTATCTCTCAATGGTGAAGGCAGTGATGGAAAAAGAAGAAGCATTGATCCCTAGATACTGGAGATAAGTGATGCAGAGACACCCCACGTAGCCATACACCCAGGATCTATACAGGCTTTCCGTGATATTGGGTAGTCCTGCAGCCACAAGCACCATGAGATCTGCCACAGCCAGACTCACCAGATAGCAGTTAGTGGGAGTTCTCATATGTTTGGTTCTGAGGACCACCAAAACCACCATGATGTTGCCCACGATGCCCAGTCCGCAAATGATGAGAACCAAGAGGATGGTAACCACTTGGTATTCGACTGTAACAATCTCCTGGCTTGACAGTGGCAGCCCAGTTTGGTTTTGCTCGTCCCCTGTGCCATTCTCCATCTTCACCAGCCCACTGCTGCTTCTCTCCAGCACTTGGTCTCAGCACATGTTCTCCATGGTCCCCTGCAAGAGGGTGAGCAGAGCAGAGCGTGGGTGAGCTGTATCCCCAGAGCACGTTCTCCATGCAGTCACAGTCCCATTCCTGTACTGTCTTCCACTCATCCGAAAGAATCTGGACTTTCAGTCTTTGTAAATTCAATTACTAGACAGGTTAATCCCTCTAAGACTCCAGCTCATTCACACAGGTTAAAAAGCTCTTTTCTCACAGCGGGTCTGAGGCATTCATGGAAACACAGCATGTGGAGATGGGAGCCTTCCCCCCTGCAGAGGAGGAGGAGGAGGCAGCGGCAGGATAAGCAGAGCCCTCCTGCACTGCCAGCTGGCTAAAGGACTGCACGGGACTGAGTGGATCCAGTCTAGGCAGACTTCAGCATCACCGCTTTCCAGGAGGAGTCACAACGTGCCGAGGGTGGAGACAGCAATAGGAGGTGAAAGGAGAAGGATTTGTAAAGCCCCACAGGTTTTCCACTTCACACTGCTTTCCGTTTCTGCTCTCAGACAGCTGTCTTGCGTATTGATCACATTGATCCACCCTGACACACAAAGGGGAGATTGTCTGGCAGCAAAAATACACCGATTTCTAACATTCTGTCTTCCTCCTTGTCCTTGTCCTTGTGACAGTGATGGTAATTTACACTTGCCTCCTGCTTTGCAGGAAGCTGCAAGAGTCCCTTTAGAGCCGACAGGAAGAAACGTACCCCAACTTTGAAAATAGTAGAAAAAAATGAGATTCTTAACTTTACTTTAAAGATTATTCTCTTCAAAACTTCTATTGCTATTGCTGTCATCACTCCTGAGCCCTTTCAGCTCTTTTCTGGGCTGTGGCACAGCAACAACAAAACCATTAGGACATGAACTGCTTCTCGATGAGATCAGTCACACACACGTGCACGCACACTCACAGTGTCACTAATCCCCCACTGCTCCTTCAGTGAAGAGTCCCTGATTGAATAAACTCCTCCTCATTTGGTCAGATTGTGTAAAACCACAGATAAGTCAAAAACTGGTAGAAGTAACAGCTTTGAGATGCATTGATGAAAGATCTACAGATGCAGTAGCAGTATTCAAGAGCCCAGCTCCACCTGGAGATTAATGCAAAGCTTTTCTGTCTTACCTGCTGCCAATTTTAATACCTCAGTGAGAGAAACCTAGCAAACCCTTCTGCAGGGCTCCGTGAAGGAGCCCTTGTCAACTCCCTAATGTTTCAACCTATTGTTTCTTCTTATATTAATGTGTTAAAAGGCTGCAGATTAACTCTGCCTTAAAAATCTCTTTTTTCCCTCCATTTAAGGCAGTTGTTTTTCATTTTATCTCAAGGAGGGTTCAAATAAAAATGTTGCACAACTGGGGGAAAGCAACTTGGATTTCGAAACATTTCAGTGTTAAAAGAGAGGGATTAGCATAGGCACATGGTGTAACGTTTGCAACACTAGGATTTTAAATAGACTGAAACAACAGGTGGTGACAAAAAGAGGATACCACCTGAATCAGGTCTGGAAATTAGAGTCGAACAGTGTTAAAGCCACTTGGTTAAGTTTTCCAGTCATTTTTTCCATTTGCCTGGTCACACTTCAAATGTGATCAGATGCTTTTCATCTGCAGACCCCAGAGAACTTAAAAAAGTAAAGAAAATATCATTATTCCTATTTAAGAGATAAAGAAACGAGGTGGAAAAAATCAGATTCATTGCCAGTGGCCTAACAGTGACCTGTGGGAAAATTCATGTTGCTGATTACTTGACCAATGTTTTACTTTATCAACAGGATCGTATCATGGATCTCACTGAGATTCTGCCCCGTGATATGCAGATTCCATTATTCCAGACATAGTTGAAAGAGGAAAAAGGCCACTGCTAGCGTGATGTCTGAGTGTCATAAAAAGGATTCCTCCCAGCTCCCTTCACATTCCACAATATTTTATCCTTCGAGATGGACAGATTCCCTGTTAGCAATCTATGCTTTAAAAGCTGTGTGGCTTTAGTGGATGTAGCCCAAGATGCTCAACACCAGGAGGGAGGCCAGGAGTGAACCAGAACAGACTTAGTGTCAGGAATCAGGGATCCAACAGAGATCAGACCCAGAAGGGGGCCGTATCAGAGTTCAAACCAGGAAACTGAGCTAGTTGAAAGCCTGGATAAACCCCTTAACCCTCAGTGACTTTAGCTGACTCACAAGTTTTTGGGACCTCCATAGACTGATTTCTCTTTTGCTGGTGACTGATGCCATTCTACCACACCACTCCACCATGAATTCTTGTTCCTTATGTTTTCATGTATTCTGTTAGCTTACATATGCAGTGTGTTGGGGTTGAGGAACACTTACATCTGAGAGTACGTAAGTGTTTCTAGTGCCAGAAGTAAAGGCAGAGGATATGGGATGCAGACATGCTGGAGAATATTTACAAGCCCACATGACTTTTAAGTGAATATGGGAAATCTGTAAAAACATTATATGATGCTTGCCTCATTCTTCTGCATCTGCTACTGGTCTGTATTAGAGATGGGATAGACCATCTTGTCTCAGCCAGTAGTACACTTCAGATGGCTCTTTGTTCAGGCAATGAACATTATTTATGGCAACAAGAAAAAATTACCTTTTTAACATGATCATCAGTCAGAGATCACATACTGAATCTGGGAATCAGTAATAGATCAACTTTTTCTCCTAGTTAATGTTGTGTTAATGTAACAGTGTTAAGAAATATTAATTACTTAGCTAAAATAGCTAAGTTTTAGTTAGAATGATTCACTTAGAGTCAATCATTTACTATTAGGAGACAAGAATTATAGCATAATGTTGTGTGATTTGGTACACAGTTTGCTTAGCATTACTTGCTTAGCATGAGTAGCTGGATTTGCCTTAGGTCAAAAGCTGTGAACTTTTGCTTAGATATGATTATGGCTGGGACAGAGTTAATTTTCTTCTTAGTAGCTGGAACAGAGCTATGTTTTGGATTTAGCATGAGAATAATATTGATAACACACTAATGTTTTTGCTAAGTAGTGTTTTTCCTAAGTCTGTGACTTTTCCAGTTATGGCTAACGATGAGGTGTGCAAGAAGAACAAAGCAGGCGATAAGGGGGCTACAACCCTCAGCAGAAGCTGCAACTTGGAGGAAAAGAAGAGCAGTAAACAGCCAGCCTGGAGACATAAAAAGAATCCAACGAGGTGTTAGAAGACCCTAGACCAGAAATTACCACTGGACTGAGAGGTGCATGCAAGGGATGTGGACAGTGTGAAGAGAGGGTGGACAGATTGCAAGGGTACAAATGCCCATGGATTTCTTTGTTCTGGGTCTCTAGAGACATCCAGCTCATGCTGATATTTCCTGGCTGTGCCATTTGAATATTTTCTTTCTATGATATATCTCTATATATAAGGTCTGATGCCAGAGAATGGGAAACCTAGGGTTTGAACCACAGGGGTAATACCAGCTGCATGAATGCAGACAAGCCTTAATAAATATTCAACCCCTTGTCAAAATACACTGTCTAGTATCAAAAGTAGTTCAGCATTAATGCATGCAAATCCAGCAGCTGTGCTGGAGAAATTTTGAGAGCAGATGGACCAGAGATCACTGTGAAATTTTTACTGCATATCTGTTACTCCATTTTATTCACATACCTGTTGGTCCAGGCATCAACTGCCATTACATGTACAAATGAGTAGGCTGCAGTTAGCAAGTCCACAACAACAGGTAGAAAAGAAAACCCGACTTTTGCTAACACATTTCTGTTGGTATAACCCCTTGGGTAGGAGGGAGAGGGGGAGGCATCATGTTAATACACCCTGTGCTTCATACTGTTTAACCAACAATATTCTTGTCCAATTTTTTTTCAATTTGCCTCAATTAAAATGTGTCTCTGCTCACTGGAGGCACAACAAACCCATAACAAACTGTCTCATAACATTAAGCACATGCTGAGATGGAACAATGAATCATGATAAACACTTTATCCAATAGCTATAAATTATTCTTAATTCTGTTTCTCTAACTTGGATCACTTCCCCAGCTGGCCTTTTCTGTTCTAAAAAACAGCTCCACAAAATGGCAATTTCATACTCTATTACCTGTCTATACTCAGTGTACATAAAAAATCCTAAGTAACTTTTATTCTTTGCTCTGTGTGCACCTCTGAAGGAGCACTTACTGCTGTCCAAATGTCTCCAAGGCTGCAGTTTGTGGAGAACGAAAGCCACCATCAGTGCTGTAGCTTCAGTGCCATCCAAAGTCTGGCTTTTAACGTTGGTAAATAGCAACTGGCATGATCAGCTCCAAATGTGTTTTGGATTTACACTTGACATGCTTAAATATTGCAGTAACTGCAGTAACTAGACTTTATTCTCCTACATCTGCCTCACCACATAGCTGTGTTTTTGTGTTAATGTAGTGAGCCTGTGGCAAAGCGTTTGGTTTGTGGGACAAATCTGCATCTGGAGGACCCTTTCATCAGTAAAGATTGTGAGGGGACCAAACACCTCCTCTGTGAGATAAATCTCATTATCCAAGGCAGCAAGCCTTCTTTCTAACAGTTTTTTGCTGCCTGTCACCAAAGCATACAATCAATGAAGTACTGCTAAAAATCCTAAATGAGTTTTCCAAAAGTGCCTAAGTGTTTCAAAACTTACAAACTGGGTATTCCTACATGTATCTGACAAATTCTATTTGATTTAGGGGTTCTTTATCTGCATGAGAGAGCAAATCCCATCCCAAAGGTGAGGGTTTTTTTTGTAACATCTTTGTTTTCTTTTAATCTTCATGTCGAACTGGTGTCAAGGCAAGTAATAAGGAATTTTTAACTTAATTGTTCTGGAAAAGCAATTGTCACAAAAAGTAAGAAAAATGTATTTCAGCAATCAGTTGGCTCACATGGGAAATTCAGTTTATCTATTGCCTATCAACAAGGTCACTGGATACTGTGGTCTGTTGAGACAGATCTG